GCCTGGTTGTGCTTGTTTTTTGTTGTGACTGAAAGAGAAGTCTGTATGAAGCATTTGAAGAAATAGATTCACAACTGCAAGAATAGCTTGCAGCAGGTTCTCAGTGCTTGTCTTACTTTTAACCCCTCCACCTCCTCCTTTAGATAATTCTCTGCACTGGAGGGACGGTTTACATGGATAACTTTGGGTTGCAGTGTGGTCTGATGGACTGTCTGAGTGTCTTTCATCAGCAAAGTCATGTGTTTGATCACATGATCATAAGTTAGATAGTTAAATAAAACTGCATTTACACAGTGTGACACAGTACTATGCTCTCCTTCTGAAGAGTCAGACATTTAATTTTGTGTATTTAATTTGTATTTGTTCCTTTTTTGTCATATTTGTACATTAAAGCCACGGTTTGAAGATGCAGTGTTTGTGATGCTGTTTCATGTACTTCACATGCTCACATAGACCATCTGGGTCATATAGGCAATTAAATACGCACTTTCATAATTTTATTAAGAATATACCATTCATTATATAGAAAAATGTTCTGTAGTACGTATACAAAATTATGGATACAGATACATACAGCAGGCTGTATGTAAATCATGACATCACCCACTGGTTAGTGACGTCCAGAAAGATGTACTACAAAAATTCAACACAATGCTTTGCATTAGCTGGGTTAACAAAACTAAAAACCGCAGTGGAAGAGATCGGGTATCACAATGATGGCTATCAGCTGTCTAGGTTAAGGTGAGTTTTCTGCCTCGGGCTCTGTGCACACTTAAACAAAAAGGTGCATTCGATGTGTCGTGACGGTGCACAAAATGATCCCTGTGAGCGCCGCCTATTCTAAAAAGAGATGTGGTCAGATGATGATGGGGAACAAATAGTGATAAAATGTAAAAGAACATGAAAAATACAGTAAAATACAAGACTTGCAAACACGAGCTTAATGCTGCAGAAAATTGTTAAGTTTGAAATTTAGTGCACAGAGAGCTACATTAACCTCCTAGGACCTGGCGTCCACATATGTGGACATCACATTTTGGGTTATTTAGACCAAAATACTCAATTTTGCTCTACAAGGGCCTGATATCCACTTACAAGGACATTATATTGCTACTGTTCTATCGAAATTTTAAATGAATATCCTCGTATGTGGCTCTCATTTTTCTTAGAAACAAAAATAAAGTAAAAAAAAGAATCTGGTAATTCGTTGTTTTTACATTCATCAGGTCCCAATCAGCCCAAATATCAAAGAGAAATTAAAAATGCATGTCGTGGAAGAGTTCAGGTCTTAGGAGATTAAACATTTTAATTTGAGTTAATTATTTTGATCCTGAGTATGCTCTCTGCCCTGCTGTTTATTTCGAAGGTGACGGCTGCAAGTTAGAGGTCTGAAGCTTAAAACTGGATCTATTTAAAAATAAAAGTTTCCATTGCCTGATGAAGAAAACACGAAGACTAGACTGAACAGGTATTCTTGGTGTGTGTTCTGTGTTCTAGTAGCTGCAATTTCAGCAGCGCAAAGGTCATCTTAGTGTTTTGAAAAGCGAGGGCTGGGGCTGAATGCAAACTGAGCATGCTGTTAGGCTAATGCCTTGTAACTGGTAAGTCATTAACCAGTGAACTAGCCTGGGCTAAATATCCAACTCCAAAACTGACCATGACTTATAAAATTAACTTATTGTTTCCTAAATCTTAGTTTCTACATTTATGGTCTTATGAGGTGAGGCCCCCACTTTTACCCCTGTACAGTATCCAAGCTGCATACTTAGATTTGTAGACAAGGTCTTCCTGTGATCCCATGTACCCATCTGAAAACTAGAAGGGTTTTGTACATTGAAAATCTTAATGCCAAAACTTTGTGGCATTAAACACTTAAACTAAACTTTTCAGACAGGCATTTGGGTAATGTTTTTGGGTTCTGGTTTATTTTACTTGCTGAATGTGTCTTCATTTTAAAATTTAACTTTTTTGGAGAGGGGCAGAAACAAAGGCTATGGCTAGTTTGAGGCCCTAGTTAAATTGAGGGTCTGCACCAAGGCCCAGTATAAAGGTAACACCAATTATTTACGCTATCTGGCTCAGCTACTCCAGCTGACTCCATTAAAAAAATAAGAACCCAAAACAAACAAACAATTAAAAAAACACGAAGTATGAAGAAAACAAAAGTATACTAAACTTATTTTATCACCCCAAATCCAATAAACTAATCCTAATCTGACATGGACGTTATTACTA